TAAATGACATGATTGCAGAAACTAATGTTGATATAGGCAAAGAGAGGAGCGTCTTCAGTGGAATCCATTTGTACAGAGACTACATGGTGATGGTGAAAGGACACAAAGAAGAGGGCAGGCGTGATCTAATGATTTCCCTGCAATCAAAGGATGAATTAGTAAGTGAACTCTTTAAAGGATTGGAGATATTGAAGTTGAGCAACCACGAGAACAGTCTTGCAAGTCCAAACCCCTCCCCTCCAGGACGATCTTCAAAATCCACTACAGTGCTAAATTTACTGTCATTTTTTGGTGTTGGAAATGCAATTGCTACTGGTGCAGTAATTGTCATCTCCCTAGTCAACATCATTACTTATAAGTTGCGGAAGATTTGGGAAGTTAACTCTACCGACTGTGGATACAAACCATCAGGCCTTACCGAAAAACTATGTCGTCCTTTTTCGCTTACTGAGATCCAATCAGCCACTGAGAACTTCAATGATGCACTTGTTATTGGGAGGGGTGGATTTGGTAAAGTATACAGAGGATTCATTAGTAAGGGGCAACAGATTGTTGCCATAAAGCGATTAAAATCCAATTCCAGGCAGGGGGCACGTGAGTTTTGGACAGAGGTCGAAACCCTTTCGAAGCTCCAACATACTAATCTCATTTCTTTAATTGGATACTGCAATGAGTGCCAAGAAATGATCCTTATCTATGAATATGTTCCTAGTGGCACATTGGCTGACCATCTCTTTGGACCCAGTCGAGAGAGTGATTATCACTCTTCTCTCTCTTGGGAGCAACGCCTAAGGATATGCACTGGGGTAGGCCGAGGATTAGACTACCTTCACACTGGCACTGATCAAGGAATCATACACCGTGATATAAAGCCTTCGAACATCCTGCTGGATGAAAATTTGGAGGCTAAGATTTCAGATTTTGGGTTGGCCAAAGCTCGAAACAGAAGTCGGGTGCAAAGCTATGTCAGCACTAACGTTAAAGGTACATTTGGGTATTTTGACCCAGACTATTTCAGAACTCGTAGATTGACAAGGAAGAGTGACGCATATGCCTTTGGGGTTGTGTTGTTGGAAGTATTGTG